TCCTCCTCTTCCCCCCCCCCATCGCCCTCCCCCCCCGCCCAGCGGAGGCGAGCGGCGCCGCCCCAGCTGCAGCGGAGGAGGAGGGCGCCGCCACGGAGGCCGCCGGTGGCGCCGCGGATGCCGCCAACAATGGCGCTGCGGCGGCGGCTGGCGCGGCTGGCGGCGGCGGCGGCGCCGCCGTGGCGGCTGGCTACGCAGCAGCAGCCGGCGGCGCTGCAGCGGCTGGCGCTGCTGAAGCGGCCGGCGGCGCTGCGGCGGCTGGCGCCGCCGCGCAGCTCTGGCTTGCTGCTGGGGCTAAGGCCCTGCCGCAGCCGCGGCCGCAGCCGCCGGCCGACCGGCAGCAGCAGCAGCAGCAGCAGCAGCCTGCAGCCGGGGCTAAGGATTCGGCAAAGCAGCAGCCGCAGCAGCAGCAGCCGCCGGCCAAGAAAGCGCCTGCCGCCGCGCGGCAGCCGCAGCCGAAGCAGCCGCAACCGCAGCAGCAACCTGCAGACGGGGCTGAGGAGCCGCGACAGCAGCAGCAGCAGCAACAGCAGCAGCAGCAGCAGCAGCCTGCAGACGGGGCTAAGGAGGAGCCAAAGCAGCCGCAGCAGCCCCCGCCGCCTGCTGGCGCGCCGCAGCCGCCCCCCCCGGCGACAGGCGGAGGGGGGGAGGAGGCGAAGGCACCTCCACCGCGCCCGCCCGCGGCGGCAGCGCCTCCGCTGCCCCCCCCCGCCGCCCCCCCCCTGCGGCTGACGCCGCCTACCGGGGCTAACGCGCCTGCTGCCGCTGCAGCAGGAGCGCAGCCGCGGCAGCTGCCGCCGCCGCGCGGCTCAGCAGGAGCGATTCCAAGGCCGAGTCAGGAAGACCGGGATGCTTATGCAGCATCATCGGCGCCCAAGAAGGCCGCACATGTTATTTTGTTTGTTGGGGGTGGTGTGCGTGTGTGTGAGTGTGTGTTGTGTGTGTGTGTGTGTGTGTGTGTGTGTGTGTGTGTGTGTGTGTGTGTGTGTGTTGTGTGTGTGGTGGTGGGGGGGGGGGGGGGGGGGGTTGATGTGCGCTATGCTTGATATGCTGCTTGCTTGCAATCGTCATATATGTAAACATATGTATAGAGTATACATACATATGTATACACACATTGTGTGGCGACGTGGTGCCCGGCCAGGCGGCGCGACGCTCGCTCTCGGCTCCACCATGGCAGCAGTGGCGGCGACGAAGAACGGGGTCTATGTCTTCCACGGGCCCTGACATCTTAGCGATTCAGTTTAATTGGGGCTGACCTCCGGGTGTAATTATTAGTATATGCTCCAATGCCATTTAGAATATTGGTAGGTTAAATGCTACACGTACGTACACGCAACCACATGCGGGTTACATACGCGCATACACATGCTGTCCATACATGACGCACACACGTACACACACGCACGCACAATCGTTATCATATATATATGCATATGTATACACAAACGCACATCATATATACGTGTATATGTATGCATCCACATACAACATGTTGTCTTATTATTTCATACATGCACATACATGTACATACATGTGCATGAGCGTACTGAATGGCTGAAGCCAGGAGTTTTTATATGTGTATATGTATACATATATTTGGCAAGCTATGTTGATTGGCTGTGTTGTTAGGGCGCTGGGCAGTCGTAGGGCGGGTAGTAGGGACATTGATTGGGCGAGGAGTCGGCCGGGGTCCGTAGCCCTTTGGACCGAGTAATACAGAAGAAGATATACCCTCCCACGTTCACGACGCAACGGGGTGAAAAGCGAGCCCGAACCAAAGAGGGCGCGAAGGCCGGGGGGGAGAGGCTGAGGAGGGCGAGGAGGAGGAGACATAAATGCACCGAGGAAGCGGCGGCGCTGGACGAAGACACGGCGGTCATGGACGAGGAAGACATCGCGGCGCTGGAGGGGCACGAGGAGGAACCAGCCGAGGAGGAGGAGGAGGAGGAAGAAAAGGATGACGACGACGTCGATGTCACAGAGGACGCGGAATCCCAGGAAGAGGCGGCGCCGCTGGAGGAAGACATGGCGGTCATGGGCGAGGAAGATATCGCGGCGCTGGGGGGGCATGAGGAGGAACCAGCCGAGGAGGAGGAGGCGGAGGAGGAGGAGGAGGAGGAGGCGGAGGAGGAGGCAACGGATGATGACGACGTCGATGTCACGGACGCGGAATCGTGGGAGGCACCGAGCCCACTGAGGCAGGAGTTTCGGGCGTGGCAGGTGGAGAGAAAGAGGAGGAGGAGGACGCTCGCCGAGGAGAGGGCGCGGCGCGCAGAGGAGGTACGGAGGAAGAGGAAGATCGCGGAGGAAGACAGGAATGAGTTCCTGCAGACTGTAGCCCATAGTTCCACGTGTCGCGTGAGTCGTAGGAGCGCCCCCCCCCAGGTTTGCTTCTCGTCGGGGCCCGCGCCCGTTTAGGTTGAGGGGTAGCTCCGGCAACGTGCCTGCGCCATCCCCGTCGGGATCGGAGGCCCTGCGAGTTCCAGCTGGTCGCGGGGCTAAGAAGCGTCTGCTGTCGAAGCGCGCCCCAGACCATCCATAGGTGCTGCCCGCCCCCGCGCCGTGAGTCCTAATTGGGGGTGCACTACCTCCACGCGCGCATGCATTCTGCCATTGGCAACGGGGGGGGGGGGAGGAAAAAAGCGGACAATGTGGGAAGCAGCATGATACTTATTTCTGCTCGGCTTCTCTGTTGTTCCTCTTCCGCTCTTGCTGCCTCGCTCTTGCTGTTCTTCCCATCTCCACTCTCCATCCCCGTTGCGTTCATGCCTGCGTGTGTTTTGCGGTCGGGGATCGCGGCTCAGTCAGGTTTCTTTTGTTGTCGCGCCTAAGGGGCTCAGCATGTCATTTGGGGACGACCAGGAACACTGATCATTCTAGGGCCCCCGTGAACACAGTGCGACTCGCATCGGGGATGATAAGCAAACCCGAAATCGCGCCGCAATGTTGTCGCCAGCCTCACCTCGTTTGGCAATCAGCTGCACGCGTTGAACACCGAACTTGGCCGATCGTGTCAGAGCCTAGCTCGATATTACCCAGCTGCCCCCGGCAAGTTCCGCCGCTGCGCCACGGAGTTAGGTGGCTCAGGGGAAGAGGTTTCGAGGCGGGGCAAGGGGCCCCAGGGCGCCCGGGGGCCCTCCTCCTGGGCCGTCCAGAGGCCATCGTGGGCCGTCCTGGAGGCCATCCTGGGCCGCCTTGGAAACACCCCGGGCCATCTTGGCCTCGAAGGGGCGGACCCATTGTTTCTCGCGAGGGATCGTGGCCACGGGA